AATTTCAGACAACCTATCAGAGTATGAATCAAATGTTACGGACAGACAAACAGACAAAGTCTTTTATAATATTAAAATCATAATAAATTTGTACCTTAGCCTATGCTGTATTAAAGCAAATTTCATTTTAAGCTGGCTTATGTTTAAAAGGAACACTTAATTATAATTTAAATTAAAAAAGTAAAACAAAATTCTGATTTAAATTAAAAAATCCATTTTTTAATTTTTTTTTAAATAAATCAAATTTTATCCACCCTGAAAAGAGTACCAGCTGACTGTAACTTTTGTTAGCAGCTCACTATTAAACTATTTTCAGTATTTTCAAAGGGCACTTACCAACCAGATACCAAAGATAAATATATTTATCACTCCATAGACAATAAAATGGGAAAAGATTTTGTTGCTAGCTTGCTTTTACTGGGAAAAGTAGCTAAATGCAAGAATTGGTAAGACTGCCAGACAGAGTTGCAGCCTCCATAACATTTTTGACATTTTAATTTTAGTTTCCAAGGCTCACCTGAGTATAGTAACCTGATAAGCAGGGATCCTGGTTTTCCGATAAAATTTTTTTCCCAGTTTTCAGGTTAAAAAACTAACCCAAAATCCACATTTTTCTGTGATTAAAATGGAAGGACTGTAATACATAGATGCATAAATAGTGGTGTTTCGTTTTGATCACGGAAAAATGTGGACTTTCGGTTACTTTATTTAACACAAAAATTGGGGGTTTTTTTAAATCAGAGAAAACCAGGATCCCTGCTGATAAGCAAGCACAGTTAAGATACACAACATACCCATCGTCCTTTGGTTCCACAGCCTACACAACAAGTGGGTCAATTAGCACAGCTTCTGAAAAGAAGCCTAGAGGCAGGATCAAACTTGTACTCCTAGAGCTGTAACAATATCCTTTAACCACTCTGCCACTACCCCTTTCAGAAACAAGAATACACTCCAGTATTTTGCTCCCAATATAATGCTGGTTTTCATTTTAGGAGTCTGGAAACCTTTTCCCTTAGGTGACATGATCATATTTTTAAAGAGCAAGCGAATACAGACATTAATGGAAGACATATCAAGTAAAACACCACCATCTAATTTGCATGTTAAATAAAACTTATTGGTCATTTTAATGAGCCATACGAAATCAGTTTCTTGTTGACTACCTCATCAAAGGTCTCTGTCATTTTCTGTATTACATCACTCTTGGGTAAACTTTGGAACATCTCAGCTGTCACCATTCCTAGAGTGGCAAAAATCAAAAATGGAGATTAAAACAACACTTAAATCTACAGCAACACATAATATTATAAAAACTACCCAGTTCTTACTGTAGTAACCTCAGTTTAAAATCACAAGCACCAAAAGGGTAACTCAAACTGTTGTACCTGTTTTTGCATTGGCACAGGTCAACAGATTTACAGCAGTAGATATTACCACATCATCATTCACATTCACAGATTCTACCATCTATTTTTCTATCCAAAAGGATAAGGAAAAATAGATTGTTATCTATCCTGCACTCAAGCCCTTCCTTTTCAGAAATTAAGCACACTGCAGACAGTTCAGTATTTGAAATCAAAATTGCTAGGGAAATGCTGAAGAAATCAATTGTGTTGCTTCACTGCCTGACACTGTCTGTCTCCTTTGCAGTAACTTAATGCTAGGAGACATGGTGCTGGAGAAGGTGCTGGATTTCAGATGAGGTGTGGAGAGCAAACTCTTGCCCACTGACAACCTTGTGGCAGGAGTGTTAGTGCCAGAGTGCTAGAGAAATCTCAAGTGCAGAAGTTACGTTCTACCTGTCTACTACCCCTACCAGTTTCAATGGGACAATGTCTTCCTCTTCACTCCCTATCTGCCATTCTGAAGCTTCAAGTCACTACTGTTTTCTATATGCTTGTTTTGGAAACAATTACATACAGTCAACTTCCAGGAAGTAGCTGGAAGGAAGCAAGAGCTATTATTCTTCCAGCCACTGAAAAGACTGAGTCTCTATTTGGGAGCATATGTACTTTATTTTCAAATGAAAGGTACTCGGTGAGTGTAAAATAGTATTCCAAGAGCTACCCCATTACAGATTTTTATCTCAGCCCACGTGAAAATCATTATTCTAAGTAACAGGTAGTGTTCCGCATTTTCAGGTTTTACTTTCCAAAAAAATTCTGGGAATTTTTCAGCATTAATCTTCCAAACATAAAAACTGGGTTGAAATCCGGATAAAAGGAAGAAAAGGGGAAAAACAATTTAAATCAGGGAAAATAATAACAATAAATGTATACATCTTTACTTTTTAGTATGCTGACAATTCATACACGTGTTTAAACGGTTTCTACATTTCTATTACAGAAATAAATAGTTGTACGCAGCAGAAGTACCATCATCCTACTGTCGTAACTCCCTATAGTATCCATAGACAAGGATTTAAAAAATAAAGTCCAACTTTTGCTTATCCCTAATCACATGCTTCTTTAATTTTAATGTCACTTGCTTTCTACATGTTCTTTTATCCTGTCAGCATGAGAACTAACTTCAGTGCCACAGTACTTGCAGTGCAATGCATCCTCTTCACCTCCTTTTTACTCTTTTTGAAAACTTCTAAACACTGATTTTCACAGATATATCCACATAGAGATTTGCGCTTTCTACCCATCTTTTACTTTTTTTTTTTTTCCTGTGTATGTTTTTATCCAGCCCCACATGAAATGGAAGCACCTATTTATGTCACGTGAGCCAATGGTGGCACAATATTAACAATTTAATCTCATTTAATCTGACTGGCTCCATGTTGTGTCTGGAGTGAGTTTTACATATAACAATTGCTTCAGCTTCAGTGCTGCAATGCCATCCCGATAGACAGTTTTGTATTTCATAGAAATAAAATTGAGTGAATTAAAAAACAAATGTAAATCAATAAAAACCAAATAACTTTAATAAAAAAAATATCAGGTCATCTACTGGTGAAATTCGGTAAAAATTGAAAACGCGGAACACTAGTAATAGGGTAATGGCACAGAGCATTAGATGAGCTTGTCCACAGGAAGCCTGAACGGGCCACCCTTATATTATGGTAGCGCTTAAATTACACAGCTCAAAAAACAAATAGGAGTAGGAAATTTGATTTGCCTAGAGCAGATTACAATCCAGATTTTGAGTAAACAATCTATTAAACTACATTTCAGCCCCAAGAAGCCTATTTTATAAGACTCTCAGCTACTGACCAATCAAAGGAAATACCAGCACTACACAGAATTACCTTGACAGCCTGAACATTGAATGAAGAAGTTAATCAGATCCAGGAGTGCCACATCTCGATCTTGTTTATATGCTTCAACCCAATCATCTACCACAGACTAAAACAAGTTACAGAAAAAACAATGATAGATGGCTGAAAATCATAGGTTCAAGCATTCCATAATATAATGCATCTAACATTAATAAATTTCTATTTATTTTTTTCTAGTAAACCGCTTCAGAAAGAATAGGGTAAAATCTTACATAATGGTGGTACTTCTCTTTAGGAATAAGAGCAGGAAAGATTGAGAGAGAAAGAACAAAAAGGCCCACAGATGCTTTGCCCGCACTTCAAAGCCAGAATTCCTTCTAAATGAAAGATGCCATTTAAACTGTGAACAACCACATAATTAATATTAGCAATGATCCTGGGAAGTTCACTTGCCCGTCCTCATCAGCAATCCATTTGTGCAAAAGACTGTGAGGGAACATGAACAAGAGTTAGTTCATGTACTATCTACTGCAAATTAAAAAGTAAAACAAAGGACCTGTTTCTGCAAGTGCTCGACCTGGCTAGACCCAAGGTCTCCAAGGAGCCGTTTTCAAGTCAACAAGGCTCTGCATGGGTACACAGGTCCATCAGCACAAAACACGGTGAAAGGTCCAGGTCTAGGGTCCAATATATTTTTAAGTAGATTTCCACTCCCCTGATTTTGTGTAGCTTTCTTTAGTAATGGAAAACAATTATTGACATATTGATATAACAGGAAAACAGGAAATCAAATATTCTATAAAATGCTATCAAATATCACATTATTGGAACTGAGAGATAAGAGCCAAGATATCTAAAGTGATGCCAAAATTAGAACGCTAAGTTAGTATCCTGATTTTCAAAAGCCTAAAACCATTTGCAGTTTCTACTGATGAACCACTCGATTTTTAAAAATCAACCCTCTCCCCTTTCAAGTACTAAAATATTACTTGAGAAGACTGACCTTAAGCATCTTTTTTTTTGGATAGTTTTCCCAAAGATCCCTTCCCTTCTAATTATACTAACTTTACATGTAAATATAGCAGGCACCTTGGCAAAAATGCCAGATTTTTTCAGCTGGCCATGTAACAAAGATTAGGCCAGGAGTCAGATTCCAAAATTCCTGAAATTAAACAACAAAAATCTACATCCATCTCCCCTTCCTGCTTCCCCCTTCTCCCTCCCCAGCAGATCTATTTAGAACAGAGGTCAGCAACCTTTTAGAAACAGGCTGAAATAATCCAACTCAATCCAAGACAGTCTTCCAACCTAGCCACTGCTGCTTCTCACCACCTTCGTCACGTGTACAATCTGCCATGGAATCTGCCTCTCCCCAGTGCCCTGCCCCCAGTCTCATTCAAAACACCACCAATATCTCAGCTCCATGGGCCAAATGAAATCACTTGTCTAAACCATTCCATTCCCAACACTGGAGTTACCTGCATAGCACGCTTGCCCACACTGACCACCTCAAACAATGTAACTGCTTCCACCACTTGGCCATTCTGCAGCTGGCTTGCTCTTCTAGTACTGGAAGAATTTCTTCTTATGTTTTCACACTGCTCTTGGACCTTCCTTTTTCCTCTCTGAAACAATTCACATGAAGAAGACAGAGTAACCATAAGACAGCTAATGGGCATACAGACATGGCCATACATGCTGCCTGAAGGTAGGTGTTCTACCCTCTTACAACAATTATGCATGTGAATAAGTGCAAGTGGCAAAGAAATATTGAGTAAGAAAATACAGGAAGGAGAAGAGGAAGTATACAGCTGAGGTGAAAATTTCCTTTGTAATCATTGGCATAAACAGGAAGGTTAAGTGGCAGAGTGGTTATATAAACTGTCTGTAGGGCATTTATTCAGGTTGTCAGTAAACTTAGAGCACCTAACTGCAGTTCTATTCCACCCTGAGAATGCCTGAAGAAAAGTTAATAAAAAGGTGAGTAGACCTTCCCCTCCCTGCTTTCTTGTTTCATAGTTTGTAGGGTCAGAAGGGACCTGGGCAGATCATCAAGTCCAACCCCCTACCTTGGCAGCAAAAAGTACTGGGGTCAAACAACCCCAGCAAGGTGTTCATCTAGCCTTGTCTTAAAGACCCCCAGGGTAGGAGCTAGCACCACTTTGCTTGGAAGTTGGTTCCAGATCCTAGCCGCCCTGACAGTGAAGTAGCGCCTCCTGATGTCTAACCTGAATCTACCCTCTGCAAGCTTGTGACCGTTATTCCTGGTCACTCCTGGTAGTGCACGGGGGAACAGGGACTCCCCCAATGCCTGCTGGTCCCCTCTGACTAGTTTGTAACTGGCCACTAGATCCCCCCTCAGCCTTCTCTTGTGGAGGCTGAACACGTTCAGGTCCCTTATGAATCAGTCTTATGGGTTAAATGACAGTGGCCACATTTACACAAGACGCTGACTGCACAGTAGCTCATTACTACTGTGCAGTAGTGTCACAAAACATGACATGACACTACTGAACAGTAATAACGAGCTACTGCACAGTTAGCATCACCAAAAAGCCGCGAGGGGATGCTACTTAGGTAGACACGGGCAACGGGCAGTGTGTTATAGACATACATCCATTAATGGATTTTCCGGACTTGAACAAGGTGTGGTGGGATGGAATCTGGCCCATTATGTGCATTGAAAGATTTTATATATACACATATGTGATGTAACAGATTTTATATATACACATACACATATAGCTACACATAGATATATAGATATATATAGATACGCATAGATAGATAGATAGACATGTATGTATGTATATACACACACACACACGCACATATAAAAATACAAACTTACTGGAGTTTTCAGATTGCCATTTCTCAGACAGCTGCCGTTCTGTACAGTGGACTCAGGAACAGTCTCATCATGGACAGAATTTTCTCTGCAGAATAATAAGCAAACAGTATTGAAGAGCATACCACACCTCTCCTATAAACTAGGTAATCTATATCTGAAGACCAGATTTGCTACATCACTACCACAGAGAAATTGCTTTTGAGAGCACAGAAAGTTAAATACTTAGATATAAACTGTAGAGGAAAATAAAGTGTACCCGTATACAATAAACTATAAAGGCTTCCTGTAAAGGTGTGGCAGCAGTTGCATGCCTGAGGCCTACAAACATTTTACTGGTGACAGTAGGCAGTAGCTTTCTTGTTAAAACACACTCAACTTTACTTTCTGAGCCCCGTGAGACTGCATTATCTAAGTAACAGATGAAGAATCAGGTTGTTAACGAATGTTGTACACTTTGATTCTGCATAGCTCTCAGATCCTGAAATAATTTCATCTACCTACTTAATTTTAATTTTTCTTCTGTGAAAAGTACCATTACAAATTTTGAACTGTGGTGGCAAAATTCAAAAGGTGCTCAAGTGTTTGCAGAACTGAAGACTAAGAAAGTAATTTCAGGGTGCACAAGGTCGTACTGTTCAAAGTTTTTATTGATTTGGAGGTCTGTCTGGAGAGAAAAGATCAATTACAGACCATACAAGTGTAGCAAAACCCCCAGTTTTTCTTTTATTTTAAAATGCATTCCCTCCCCTTCCCCAACCATTTCAGACTTTTTCTCTCCCTCTCTATTCCCTATAGATAAGTATAAGTAAGCTAAGATGTAGGATAAGCTTTAACATTTTATTTTAGGTAGTAAGTTTTATTTTCTCTCCCCTCTTTGCAAATAAGTTCCCTGCTATTTTGATATCGATACCCACTGTTTTATAAGTGATCGTTATTATGTTTGTACTGCTTTTATGTTGTGTGATTACTGTTTTAGGCCTATATGTCTAAGTTAGCGTAAGTCATGTCAAGTTTCCATTTTGTATGTCAAGCCTCCATCTTGTGTCCTCTGCCTGGGCATCCCCTGTGTTGCAACTGTATGATTCATGTGCCCCTCCCATGTAAATTGGTTCCCAGATGAATGAGAGTGATTGGGAATGGCTGAAATACAATGGTAGCAGGCCTCTACTGAATGGCCTGTAACGACCAGGCCATCACCTTGCATTGATTCATCCAGGAACCATACCACAGGACCTCACCCAGGAACAGAGATAAGAACCCAGCATTTGAAAGACAAAAGACCCTGCAGAACCAGCAACTCTACCATTGTACCCACCATTACAGACATCCAAAACTGCACATCCTTGCATGGAGTACACATGCTCAGTACGCCAGGAGCTGACCCTTGCCTGGGCAGGCCTCCTGTCACTAGCATCACACAAGCTGTGCCCCTATAAAAAGGGGCAGTGAAGACAGACCCAGTGGGACACCCTCTCCATCTGGACCAG